TTCATTAAATCCGTCAGTTTTATTTTCCAACTGATAGTTGAATCTATCAGTGTGAAAGTTCTGTCTCTGCTATTAATTTGCTTTTGCTCATCCTGTCTGTGCCCCTGGCTGAGGGCACTGCTGCACACTTGGGCTGAACCCGATGTGCTGTGGAACCAGGCAAGCTCATGTTTGATATAAGGAAAACAAGTACCAAGTCTGGTTTTATTTCAGAGCATGGACAAGAGACCTGAATGTCCCAAAATAAGCAATTCGAACATTCCTGGTTTAATCATTCCTGCAATATTCCCAATATTATGTCTATCCATGGGGCAAGAAAAAGTGATTCTCATGCCTAAATATGTTTTTCTAATAGGAAAAAAGTAGCTGCTGGAAGTAAATCTCTGTCCCCATCAGTGATTGCTTCAGCCTATTTCACAGCAGGTTCCCCTGGAGACCCAAGGACACCTGGAGGGAGCCCAGAGGGACAGGGAAAGTGATGCCTTGGGCTGGTCCTCTGCTGCTGAGCTGGGCTGGGCTTGCGGGATGGAGGGAGCTGGTGGCAAGCGGACAGTGCTGCAGAGAGACAGCTCTGTCCAGGAGCAGGGCTGGGGGCACTGCCTGCATACAGCGAGGGGAGAGGAGAGAGGAAGAGAGGTTAAACATGGTCAGAGATTGAAAGACGTTGTTCTAAGATCTCACTGTGGGAGAAACCTTTGCAGCCCTCCATATGATAAGTTTTTGGATGCAAGGAAATGCAGTTTGAGTTCCTGAAGGAACCTCCAAAAGCTGGCACGTCCCAAAGCCTTTGAGGTCTATCAGGAAGATTTTTAGAGACTCTCTAGCATAGAGAAGACAGAGGTGTTCAACGCTGGGCTTTGCTGCTGCACCGTCACAGGCACAGGTTATCACGGCTGGTTCCCTCCCCCCAAGCGGTGTCCATATGGGTGTGCATCCGGGGTGCCCAGGGCTGTCCTTCAGAGCAGGGTCCCTGCACCCCAGGGGCTGTGTGCTGGGGCAGGAACTCTGCCGCCTGTCAGGGTCAGCACTCAGCCTGCCCGGGAGCTCCCCATGGTGCTGCAGGGAGAAGCTGTGGGTGGAAGGAGTGAACCTTGTCACGGCAGGGTCCTTCTGGTGTTGAGAGGGTGCTGTGTAGGTCAGGGCTGCTCACAGCTCCAGACCATTTCCAAGACATTTCAAAAGAGATGTTCAAGGAACACTTCAAAACCGTGTGAGATGTGTCAGTCTGATTAGTGTTAAAATAATGTGAAGAAAATGGGGAAGATGCGACCTCTGTGACTATTTTGGCTGTCCTTGTACGGAGAACAGATTGAGAAGAAGTATAACAGAGTGCATAGTTGTATAAGACCCATAAGGCGCCAGAAAGGAGACACTTATCTGAACCCTCTTCAGAAACGAGACAATACCGGTCCTGTGGTTTGAGCAAGAGCCAAGAAGTAACTAAGTCTGTGTAAGGAGGAAAGCTTAGCAAAGGTGAAGAAAAAAAAAACCAAACAAAACCAAAAACAGCGTTCATTCCGTGCGACCCCCTCCCCCGAGACCACCAGCAGGGGACACTGCGCAGGCGCGGATGAGAGGAGAGCAAATTGTAATATGAACGTGGGATAGGTCATGCATATGTATAAGCGTATTGCGAAATTCTACGAATATGTATTAGTTAAAGAAATATAAACCCGAAAAGAGAATTGTATGGGGTGCGTGTCAATGGACCAGAGCGTGTTCCCACGCACCCAGCGCTGTTTGCTTGCCTTCACTCATTTAATAAATTGTAAACCTTAATTGAAATCCTTGTTAGTATAGTGGTGAGTATCCCTGCCTGTCATGTGGGAGACTGGGGTTCGATTCCCCAATGGGGAGTCACTGTTTGAGGCTAAACCATTTGTCACAACCACATTTTCTTCCAAGTTTAGGATTCTTTGCTTTCAATTTTCAACACTTGGTGTGCTAGGTGGGCTGTGTGAAGTCAGAATTTATTTCTTCATTCTAAAGAAGGCACTAAGACCACAGAGCTGCTTAGGACTTGTCTGGGTTTCTCCTGAGTCCCTGCACACGCAGAGATGTCTCTGGGCCATTCCTGGTTGCCAGGAGGTGTCTGTAGGGCAGAGCTGAGCACACAGTGGTTTCCATGGGGTCTGTGAACACTGACAGGGAGGAGACACCTGGGCACAGAGAAACAGCTCCTGATACTGACAGCTCCAGGCTGCAGATCTGGACAGGGAATGAGAGGGGAACTGCTCGCAGAAGTACTCGGGGAGGGGGCTTGCAGGCACATTCCTACCATTCCCTGGCATGACAGAAACCTTCCCTGGAGAAACCCCCCGGTATCCTCTCTCTCGTATCAGATGATCTGGGCAAAAATCATAGATTTTATTCAGAGAAGTCTAGTCTAAATATTTTAGTATATTTTTTTCCATGGACAGTGCTAATTCCCAGCAAGATCCAATGACCAATGGCAGCTCCATCCCCTCATTTTTTTCTCTCGCACTTTGCAGCTCTTGCACTTCTGGCTGTTTCTGAGCATCTACCTGTCTGTTGTCCTGGGAAACAGCCTCATCATCACTGCCATAGCCTGCGACCACCACCTCCACACCCCCGTGTACTTCTTCCTCCTCAACCTTTCTACTCTCGGCCTGGGATCATTTCCGCCACTGTCCGCAAAGCCATGGCTAATTCCATCTGGGACACCAGGTCCATCTCCTACTTGGGATGTGCTGCCCAGGTCTTTCTATTTTTCTTTTTTATCTCAGCAGAACTGAGTCTTCTCACTGTCATGGCTTATGATTGCTACGTTGCCATCTGCAAACCCCTGCACTACAGGACCCTTTTGGGCAACAGAGCTTGTGCCCACATGGCAACAGCTGCCTGAGGCAGTGTTTTTCCCTATCCTGTACTGCACACAGCCAATACATTTTCATTACCACTCTGCCAGGGCAATGATATGGACCAGTTCTTCTGTGAAATCCCCGATCCTCAAGCTCTTTTGCTCACAGTCCTACATCAGGGAAGCTGAGCTTCTTGTTGTCAGAGTCTGTTCAGGTCTTGGGTGTTTTGTGTTCGTTGTGCTGTCCTATGTGCAGTTCTTCAGGGCTGTGCTGAGGATCCCCTCTGAGCAGGGACAGCACAAAGCCTTTTCCACGTGCCTCCCTCACCTGGTCATGGTCTCTCTGTTTGTCACCACTGGCACGTTTGCCTACCTGAAGCCTCTCTCCACCTCCTCCCCATCCCTGAATCTGGTGGTGACAATTCTATACTCAGTTCTACCCCCAGCAGTGAACCCTCTCGTCTATAGCATCAGGAATCAGGAGCTCAAGGATGCCCTGAGAAAAGTGATTAGATGTTTTTCAACAGCCGGAGACTGTGTAACTTCCTCTGCAAATGACTCCCAGTGTATGATTTCCTGACAGTCATGACTGAGTGAGTCTATAATTTCTTCTTCGTTTTTTTTTTTCTATTTTTCTACTTTTTCACTTGTGATGATGTTGTCTGCAAAGAAATGTCACTATGTATCCCCTTATTCTTAAGTGTCCACTCAACTTGTGTGATCCATAGAGTCTGTGTAAATGAGGAGAGAGGATTTCTGTGCTTTAAACAAAATAAATGAACCAACAGCATTTTTTTTTCCAAGATTCATGCTCAGTAGGACAGGAATGAATGAGAAATGAGAACACCTTTCTGGCTGCACAGTCCTGGGGCAAGCTGCTTTATCTCTGAGGCAGCAGGAACAGCCTGGGGATCCAGAAGAACTGGGGCTCTTGTGCTGACCTGGGGAGAGAGGATGGCACGGAGAGCTTGCAGATATCTCAGGATCTCCTGGAGAGGGTGGCAGAGGACAGAGGGTGCCATGGACCTATTTTGCCTTGTGCCATAGATCCCTACCTCTGCAGCTCACTGCTCTCCAGCCCTGAGCAGCTGCTGTGCCCTTCAAAGGGTCTGGGGCTGTTGGGCGAGTGCCCAGAGCTCTACAGCACCCTGTGGTGGACACTGCTGTGGGGCCTGCCCAGACTGGGCTGTCTTAGGATAGGGCAGGGGAAGTGGAAGAGCTGGGAGGGAATTGGGCTGGGCAGAGAAGTGCCCAGGAGAGGAAAACATCATTGCATGCCACAGAATCACTGAATCATTAAGACTGGAAGAGACCTCTAAGATCACCAAGTCCAACCATCAACCAAACCCCCCATGGCCACTAAAGCATGTCCTGAAGTGCCACATCCAGGCACTTCTTGAAGCCCTCCAGGGATGGTAACTCCACCACTGCTCTGGGCATCCCCTTCCAGTGCTTGACCACTCTTTCAGTAAAGAAATTTTTTCTAACATCCAACCTAAACTTCACCTGCAGCAACTTGAGGCCACTTCCTCTTGTCCTGTCACTGGTTACATGGAAGAAGAGAAGAACACCCACCTCACTTCAGCCTTCTTACAGGCAGTTGTAGAGAGTGATAAGGTCTCCCTACAGTTTCCTTTGCTACAAACTAATCAACTCTAGCTCCCCCAGTTGCTCCTCACAATGCTTGTTCTCCAGAGCCTTAAACAGCTTCATTGCCCTTCTCTAGACATGCTCCAGCCCCTCAATGTCCTTCTTGTAGTGAGAGGCCCAAAACTGAACACAAGACTCTTCATCAATGATCTGGATGAGAGAGTTGAGTGCTCCCTCAATCAGTTGGCAGATGATACTAAACTGTGTGGCAGTGTTGATCTGCCTGAGGGTAGGAAGGCTCTGCAGAGGGACCTGGATAGGCTGAATCCATGGGCTGAGCCAATTGTACGAGGTTCCACAAGGCCAAGTGCCGGGTCCTGCACTTGGGTCGCAATAACGCTATGAAGCGCTACGGGCTTGGGGACAAGGGGCTGGAAAGCTGCCA